CTCGGAGCCATGGAGTGAGTATCAGCAAAACAGCAGAATTCGTTAAATGTTCAAGAACAGCTGTTGTTAAAGTGTTTAAAGACTGGACTGTCAGCCGAAAATCTTGGTAGGAAACGTGTGAATTGTGGCTGTCAGTGACTAGTCAATGTTAGAGCAGAACGGAGAGTGGCAAGACTGGTACAAGACAACAGAAGGGCAACAGTGCATCAAATTACTGCAGCTCTTAATCAGGGATCCTCTCAAATGATCTCTGAACGCACTGTTCGCCATACACTGCATCGTATGGGATATGGAAGCCGAAGGCCTGTTCGAACACCTTTGCTGTTAACAAGATAAAACGTCTCCATTTCGCACTAAGGTGGCCCAATGATGTACTGATGGGGTGGTCATAATAATCTGGCCACTCAGTATATATATATATGTCAGAGCTATATATATGTATAATAATAACGGTGTGACTGGCTCAGCGTGGCGGCAGTGCGGGGGGGTCACCAGAGCTTATTTGGTGTCACCGGAGATGTGCGGGATCACCGGAGATGTGCGGGATCACCGGAGATTGTTTAGTGTCACCGGAGAAGTGCGGGGTTACCGGGGATGTGCAGGGTCACCGGAGCTTATTTGGTGTCACCGGAGATGTGTGGGGTAACTGGAAATTGTTTGGTGTCATCGTGAATGTACGGGGTCACCGGGGATGTGCAGGGTTACTGGGGATGTGCAGGGTCGCCAGAGATTGTTTGGTGTCACTGGAGAAGTGCGGGGTCACTGGAGCTTATTTGGTGTCACCGCAGATGTGTGGGTTCGCAGAGGATGTGCCGGATCACCGGAGACTGTTTAATGTCACCGGAGAAGTGCAGGGTTACCAGGGATTGTATGGTGTCACCAGAGATGTGCGGGGTCACCGGAGATTGTTTGGAGTCACCAGAAATGTGTGGGGTCACCAGGGATGTGCGGGGTCACTGAGGATGTGAAGGGTCACCAGAGCTTATTTGGTGTCACCGGAGATGTGTGGGGTCACTGGAAATTGTTTGGTGTCATCGTGAATGTGCGGGGTCACCGGGGATGTGCAGGGTTACCGGGGATGTGCAGGGTCACCAGAGATTGTTTGGTGCACTGGAGAAGTGCGGGTCACTGGAGCTTATTTGGTGTCACCGGAGATGTGTGGGGTCGCAGAGGATGTGCGGGATCACCGGAAATTGTTTAGTGCTACCGGAGAAGTGCAGGGTTACCAGGGATTGTATGGTGTCACCAGAGATGTGCGGGGTCACCGGAGATTGTTTGGAGTCACCAGAAATGTGTGGGGTCACCAGAGATGTGCGGGGTCACCGAGGATGTGCGGGGTCACCGAGGATGTGCAGGGTCACCGAGGATGTGCAGGGTCACCAGAGATTGTTTGGTGTCACCGGAGAAGTGCGGGGTCACCGGAGCTTATTTGGTGTCAACGGAGATGTGCGGGGTCACAGAGGATGTGCGGGATCACCGGAGATTGTTTAGTGTCACCGGAGAAGTGCTGGGTCACCGGAGCTTATTTGGTGTCACCGGAGATGTGTGGGGTCACTGGAAATTGTTTGGTGTCATCGTGGATGTGCGAGGTCACCGTCGATTGTTTGGTGTCACCGGAGATGTGCGGGGTCACCGAGGATGTGCGGGGTCACAGGAGATTGTTTGGGTGATGGAAGTCACCAGAGCTTCTTTTAATTCACTAAACTAAGGGGCAACTCCCTTGTAAAACGAGGGTTAACCCGTTAGAAGATAACGGGTTAGTAGTGGGCAACTTAAGGATACTTCTAACACCTACACTCAAAACTAAATAAAAGAAGAAAGAAAAGGAATGAGTCAGGCGGTTGGTTTATTAATGATGACCCAGTGATAGTCTGTCCGTGAGAAAACTCCCTTTCCCTCAAAACAAAAGGACTTGATACACCCCACCACTCCAATTAGAGTAACACGTTGCAGACGAGCAGAAAGGAGTTAATAGCACACACGGTTAAATTCGAATCAGTGGTACCCATTACCTAATAACTGAGAATTTGAAATTTCAATAACAAACTGAAAACAAAAGATGAAATAACTTGGGAGTAAAAATAAGAATAATATCTCTATGAACAAAGAAGACATCCATACAGGAAATATTAAATAAATAAATAAGTAACATCTAAAAACACCTGAGATAATTCAGTCGAAAACAGAGAGAGGGGGTGTTGCGAACTAGAGATATACATAGAACTCTTCATTACATTTGAATAGGAAAATCAGAAGAACATTTTCCTTTTTCGTTGTCTCCCTCCTCTCTTACCCTTCCAGTTTGGGTTCCTTCTCCTTGATCAATACAACTCACAAAAGTGGACATACGTGTGTAAAGGATAAAAGAAAAGGGACCGAAGCAATAGCTACATCGGTTACCTTTTCCTCCCCCCCATGGTGGGGATACAAGGTTAATGTTAATGAGGATCGATCCACATATTAATCATGACTGTATGTGTTCTACAATGTTTTTAATGGTAGTCAGTGAATCTAATGTGCAATAGTGTGTGGTTTTTCAATAAAATTATATATTTTCTACAATTGGTTGACGTGTCCGGATCCTTAAGTTGCCCGCTACTAACCCGTTATCTTCTAACGGGTTAACCCTCTTTTTTTGTACTAGTTCAATTGGGCCACGGATCGGACGTAACAAGCAATTATGTGTAAATCTAATTAGGGCAGACATAATCAGTCGGATCTCCAGGAAGGAACACAACCCCCTTTTTTCTGCAACTCCCTTGTAAATTGAACAGCCTATTTGTCTATAATAAAACAACCCCTATATATTATTACTGCACTGTAGCGATTGTTATTATTATTATACAGGATTTATATAGCACCAACATCCTATCTAAAGGCAGAGCCAGCTGTACCCGTCCCCTCCCCCATCCATTCCGCCAGTCAGCGCTGGTGGATCGGAGCGGGGAGGGGGGAATCCAGCCCCTCCCCTGTCACGGCAGAGAGCCATGACAGGATCGAGAGGTGAGCAAACGCCGGTATGTGTTCGCTCACCTCCCGATCTACTGAGCCGACCTGTGACAGTCTCATTGTCACAGGTCGGCTAGAACTATGAGGTGAGTGGAAAGCACTCACCTCATAGTTCTCCTTTAAAATACCCGACAAGAGCGGGCAGCTCGTTGGCTGCCGGCTCCTATCATACAAGAATTTTCCGGCCAGCTCTTTCGATCAGCCGATCGAGGGATGCCGACCGAAAGGGTGCCGACACCACTGTGTGAATTTCGGCTGGTTCCTCAAAAAACGGCCAAAATTCGTTCAGTGTATGGGCACCTTTAGAGCGTGAGTGTGCATGGCATGGAAAGGTAGTGCGAGTTATAAGACTAATTCAAGGGACCTGTCAAGGATAGAAATATCAGTTGCTCAATTGGTCTTTAATACATGCTCAACTACTTATTGAGTTACTGGCCTGATAAACATTTACATGTCAGGTGATTTGCCAGCTAATATAAGCATGCCCTCTCCAGGTCAGTGAGCAGCCAAATACCCTGGAACTTGAAGCCCTGGAACTTGAACCTTCAAAACTAAAGGTGTCCACACATCTTTCAATTTATCTGCAGATTTTCTGTGGTCAGATGGAAAAAGTGCAACAGATTGGTCAGGTGGAGATTACTCCAGCCACACAGTTAAGTGTAGATGGAGGAATCTGTCGCACCTTTTCCATCTGACCACAGAAAAACTGCAGATAAATTGTAAGGTGTGTGGGCAGCTTTAGTCAACGGTGAGAGCTCCTATATTTCAATCTTGACAGGCTTTTCTGAAACTATGCTCCACCCACCCATTAGCAGTGCTCATATCTGTCACCTCTCCTGTGAAGTGCATAAAGTGTTTAATTATAAATGACACACAGCCTTAACAGATTAAAGGCATCTAATTTCAGCTAAGATAGTACTAATTTGGCTGGTTCTAGGTTTACAAAGCCAAACACAACAACAGGTTCTTCTTTATGCCTTTCGCTGCCAGCCCCTGCTCTCCACACTTTACCTCAAGTGGCCGGACCATTTTTGCTATTCTTTTCGTTTTTTAGTTTTTTAACTTACAGCTTTATACGTTTATAAAATATCCCCCAAACCATACATTTTCTGAAAGCATAGGTCCCGTAGAATAAAAAGATGCTGCTAATGATTTTGTGCATCCTGGAATAGTTGCACAAATGTTATCAAAACAACATGTTCTATAAAAATACACTACAAAACTGAATACGCAGGCTATGCGAAAAATGTGGTGGTTGCCTTCATACCTATGCATTATTATATAGATAAAAAGATGCAATGCAGCATGTTACAACATGAAGCAATGAGCTGCGGTGGGTTAACATGCATAGAGTTAAATGTACTTTTAAAATAGATAAAAGATAAGAAAGCAACACACTACAGCACTCGTGCTCAACATGCACAAGCGTGCGTTCCGTGCACCCCACTGGTGTTAATAGGTCCTGATTGAGTTGGTGCACCACAGTGCACCAACACACTTAAGGTGCATTACCACAGTGTGTGTAGTGCATGTGTACATTATGTGTGTGTGTGTGTGTGTGTGTGTATGTGTGTGTGTGTGTGTAAATGAGGAACGTTTTTTTGTTTAAATTTTTTTATATTTTCCACAACCCACTCTTTCTGCTGTTACAGGTGGGAGGAGAGCAGTGAGGATCGGAGGGTACACAGGAGACAGTGGGTTGTGGAAGGGATCAGATTGCCGGCACACAACAGGAAGCCTCTGGCAGGCACTGTGGAGCAGTGGAGGAGGGCAGTCACATTTTGTTATAAATGTCTGCGATCAGTGGCTAGTCATCCACTGATCACAGCTATTCATTAATCAGCAGAGTCTAGGAGACCCCAATGCTATAAGTTCATGCTTCCTCTGTAACACTTATGTAAGTGGCAGTGAAAGCGTAAACCTTTATATTTTATGACAATACCTACAGTGTTTTTTGTTTGCATCTTGACTACATGTTGCTTTTTTTACAGTATTTAATAAGTGAGCGGGACAGAGATCCCCAGTGCAACCCTCATTGTATCAGAACACAGTACAGACCAGTTTGTGCTTCAGATGGTCGAACCTATGAATCCACATGCGACTTCCAAAGAGCCAAGTGCAAGGATGCTGCCCTTAATGTGGTTCATAAAGGAAAGTGCAAAGGTAACTTACTGCTTGATGAAAGAATAATATTTAACATCCATGATAACTTTGAGGCATCGTTACTTTACCTATTTAGAGCAAAGTGATGGAGCCTGCTGATAACTTAGTAATGTATACTAACCCACCACCATGCTTCCTCGCCACCTCCCTGCTCTCTCAGAGCACATTGCTATAAACTTAATTGGTCTAATAGAGCAGGAAGCTATATATAAAAGTCAACTGGCAGCCCATGGGACCTTTTTTTGCATTCTGCATCTCCTTTGCTCCATTTCATTATTTTCTTCCTTCACTAAAAGATATATGCCACACTGTTGCAGGTTTGCATATAGCATCATCAATTTATGCAGCATTTCACGTACTATTCATTCACATCAGCCCCTGACCTCAAGAAGCTTATAATCTAAGGTCCCCATCTCCTATACACACATACTAGGGCCAATGTATACCTTGCTCTGCCTTGATAGCTGCACATTAATTGACTCCCATGATGTTGCCTTCACTTGCTATTGGTTTTCAATGGTATGGATGTCTCTTGTGAAAAATAGTGCATGATTTTAAACACAGTACTAATATTGCCATCCATATAAAAATGAAATTATGCAGTACAACTGTTGATATTTTATTCCCAGATGCTGGCCAGAGTAAATGCCGTCTGGAAAGAGCTCAAGCGCTGGAACAAGCAAAAAAGCCTCAAGAAGCTGTCTTTATCCCAGAGTGCAATGAGGATGGATCCTTCACTCAAGTGAGTAAAGAATAATAATGTGCAGGCCCTAAAAAGACTAGACAGGGCACATTTTTCCAGGCATCAAATTGCAGAGCCATATGATTTGGTAAAATATAAATTTGAACTACTTTGCAACATTTAAAAGGGAAGGTATTTTGAATGGAGGTTTATTTTATTTTTTTTGAAGTTTCACCAACATTTTGTTTCATTTGTTTTCTTATGTTATACGCATTTAATACAGGGTGCTAATCTTCTCTGTGTGTGCAGAACATGGTGGGCTGGTAAACACAAAAGGACAGCACTTGCCTTGCATTTCTGAACTAGTCCTGAGAGGAAGATTAGTTGTGTCCCTCCTTGGAATCATTTAGCTGTATGTGGGTAATCTAAGACCCTGGTATTCGGGTTTGCATTGACAAAATAATTGTAAAGCAGCTATATGCAACTCTGAATTACCAGGCTCATACTCTCCTACTGCGATCTGAAAGGGTAAGCATAACTTGTTTATATGCAATAGGTAAAACATTTCAAAAGTTTTATACATAAGCACAGAAATTATATGTAACAAACACTACGCATTCTCTGTACATTGTTCCACAATGCGCACAATGGTAGTGCAATAATTATTAAAGGGCAGTTTGACTTGCGCAGGCGCACATATTCAATTTTCATCTCTGCCAGAAGCAGTGTATGAGAAGTAAGAAGCTTCATACCATCGATGTTACCATCACCGTACCATGAAATCTGGAGCTTACATACTAGGTAGCTTTTAGCTTCTACTTATAACAGTATACACCAGGTAACAGTAGACAGAACCATTTTACTAAATGTTCAGCTGTACGGTCATGACTAGGAGTGGCAGAATTCTGTGGTGGAACTACCAGGGTCGTATGTGTACAACTTTATTGCTATAACATAGGGGACTAAGAAATCCCCTATGTAATAGCCAGTTCACCTAACAGGTCCTCTTTATGGAGACATCAGGGCTCTCCAAGGCCTCTAATGTCACCTAGGGACCCCCACAGAAGCTGATGAAGCAGAGACCTGCTTCATCAGCTTCTCTCCGGTGTTCTGCACCAGAGAGTGACACTGAATGCAGGAAGTGATGTAACATACATCACTTCCTGCATTCGGGGACAGGAAGAGAGATCAAAGGGAGATCGAGTAATGATCTCCCTTTGATCTGCTGTTAGAGCGTCGCCGTGCCGGTCCCAGCCGCACCGGCCACATCGGATCATGGACCGGCAGCGGCGACGAGGAGACAGGGGGAGAAGGGGAGCCAGAGTAATAAAGGGTTAAACAAATACAGGAAACAGGTAGAAGGGGGGGCTTACCGGTTTGAAGGAGGACCTTAGAGGGGTGGGATTTCAGGAGGAGGGTGGCACGTGGATAACAGGATCATTCCTGAGGACACCGGTCACAGGTCGGCTTAGTAGTGGGGAAGGGGGCGGGTACAGCTGGCTCTGCCTCTAGATAGGCAGAGCCAGCTGTCACTCACGCAGCTGGGCGGATCCCGTCAGCTACTTCGGGATCCGCTCCAGGAGCTGTAGCTCGCGGTATACTGAGCTTAGGGTAACGGGAGGACGCTAGTTTGTGTCCTCCCGTTACCCCAAGGAGAACTATGGGGAAAAACACTGACCCCATAGTTCTCCCTTAAACCCCCTTCCCATTCAGGCCATTTTTCAGTATTCAGCGCTGCGGTACTTTGACTGACATTTATTCCGTCATGCAACGCTGTACTAAAATTAATTTTATACCATTTTTTAGGGACAGATAGAGCTTTCTTTTGGTGGTATTTAATCACCACTGGGGTTTTTATTTTTTACTATATTAAAGGAAAAATTACCGAAATTTTTAAAAAAAACTGTTTCCCCTATATTAAATGATAAAACATTTATTATTACCCATTTTTTTGGTAAAATATAAAAGATGGGGTCACGTCGGGTAAAAAGACACCAAACATGTCAAGCCTTAAAATTGCGTGCGCAATCGAAACCTCAAAAAACAATAATAATCAAAATTGGCCATAGGCGACGCTTTAAAAGCTTTTACCGCTCATCAGTTTAGTGTTATCAGTGATTGATGGCCCTAAAATGATTGCTCTCAATGCGACGTTCGCGGCGATATGTAACGTGTGTAGCGCAATTGTCGTTTTTGCACGCTGGTGCACCGGACGCATATTTACGTTTATATCTGCGTAAACGTGGGGGTGGGGGAGTTAAACATTTTGGGGGGGTTTTTTACTTTTTTTATATGTGACTTTTATTTTTTTTATTTATGTATATATTTTGCACTTATTGTTATTGCTATAACAATCCCCCTATATAATAGCAAAGGCACACTGACAGGTCCTCTTTATGGAGACATTAGGGGTCTCTAGGACCCCTAATGTCACCTGTGGACCCCAAAAGAAGCTGATGAAGCAGAGATCTGCTTCATCAGCTTCTTTTCTCTGGCTATAGCAGCCAGATGACTGACAGGTGAATGCGGAAGTGATGTAGCACACATCACTTCTGCATTCACAGCCCGCAGGGAGGTCAGCAAGGAGCTGATCTCCCTTCCTCTTACTCCTGACGCCCTCCCGACCCGATCCCGGGCCACAGGTGCGGCAGCGGATCCCGGGATTGAAGGTGAGGGGTCAGGGGGTCAGGCTATGGAGCCGCCGATCGTCTATATGTGAAACACCCGGTAACGGGTGTTTGCATTGGTCGGGTCTTTTCTGCCCGTGTGCGCCCGCAGAAAAAAAATGCCGTCTGGAGACGGCAACCCGCCAATGCTGCAGTGCCGTCCGTCCGTTTTTTTACAACGGGCGGACGGCAAGTGGTTAAAACAGCCTCCTATCATACAGGGAACTACAAGTTCCAGCATGCACTCACTGTCCCTGTACAACTCTGACATATTACCCAGGGAACTACTGCAAGGGGCTTGTGTCATGGTCCTTGGAATGCTTTATCTCCTGGGACTTCTGTGTCATTATACATATCGGACCAATCGCTGCTTGCCCTGTTTCAAGTCCTCATTTGCATGGCGGAGAGGACCTAGGTGAGGACTGGAGGATAGTTTGCAGTTGACCAATAGGAAGGTGGTCGGTTGGGCCACCTTCAAACTGTTGTTTTATAAAAGTGTGTGTGTGCATCTAATAAAGTAGATTCCTGTTTGAGCTTACATACAGCCTGCCTGGTGTTTGTTCTGAGCAATCACCACTGGATACGAACGGCACCGAGCTGTAGTTCGAATCCCGAATTATCGGATGTCCGAAATATCAGACGATGCAGTCTGAAATCTAAGGAGTGCCGGGAGAGTGGGAGCGAGCAGGGGCTCGTTACAGCTTGCATGCTGGAACTTGTAGTTCCCTGGGTGATTTATATGTGTGTGTGTGTGTGTGTGGGGGGGGGGGGGG